CATTTAAATCAGGATCACATTAATTTTGAGGGGTGCGAGATTCAACTTATTTCTATATCGCCGCGGTAATTTTGCAATAATTATTGGTTTAAATGACTAATTAAAAAGCAATTTGTATCACAATAGTAGATATTATATTTATTAACTGGACTTTTGACATTAAGTAAGCTTATTTTATTAATTAGTGTTAAGTACCATAAAATTCCTCAAATTAACCATCCACATAAACTGGAAATCATAAATTAATGTTGGTGGTTCGATTAATTATTTTTACTTATGATTTATTTAATATTGCATTACCAAGGGGCTAAATTTGTAAAAGTATGTTTTATATGAACCGCTAATAATTAAATACTTATGATGTTATTAAGCTTATAGTATTTATTTTCAAGTGATTTACAAACAATTAAATCTTATCCTCAATAATTATAATCTCATAACACAATAGCATTAGTGCCTCTGTTTTGCACATTAAAAACAAGTATTTTATTGCATTCAATATTTGCTAAAAGTATATGTATGCTTATTATAAGACAATGACTTCATAACCTAATAGTAATGTAATATAATACCTAAAGTCCATATAGTACCTAGCTAGTTGTTTGTTAGCTAAAGTACAATTTTAAATGTCAATTAAAATAGTACTTTAGCTGACAAACAACTAGCTACGTACTAAATATTAAAACAATATTTAGCTATTATGATGGTGAATGATATATTAGTTAATTGCATTGGTCGTTAATTTTTACCTCGCTAAAAATGCTTTGTTTAAAATTGTAAATAGGATTTAAAAGAAACATGATAAAACACATACAATGTTTGTGTGTTTTATTTAGTTAAATTTATATCGTGTTTATTTATTATTTATTATTTATTATTTATTATTATTTATTATTTCGTTAGTAATTAATTTGTTATTAATAAATACAATAAAAATTATATTGTAAATTTAAATTTAAATATAAACAAATAAATATTAATTTTAAAAATTTACATGTTAATATATCCTTTTATTATAAAATACCACAAACTGTAAATAAAGTAATAAATTAGTAAATTAATAGGTATTTTATATTAATTTTATTTAATCGGGTATTTAATCAGTTTATTACAATAATTATAATTATTCATTGAATTTATTAATTTATACATACATAATGTATAATGTATATTTATATTACATTTATATTTTATGTTTATTGATGATTACATAAAAATAGCAAGTTCAAAATTATAATGGTAACTAACATAATTGTAATTATACATGTTAGAAAAATATCTATTTAAATATTACCAAAAATTAGATTATAACATAAAAACGACTAATTAATGAAAATAAACCCAGTATTATAATATAACATTTTAAGTTGTGTTGTTTATTAGTATTATGATAAATTATAAATAATTCTGTGTTTGTTTTAAAAATTTAATTAAAATTTATTATTTATACTTAATACAAAATCCAAATAGATTAATAGATTAATGTTATACAACAATTTTATCAATAAAACAAATAAATTTTGTTTATATTTCAAAATCTCTTAATAAATTTTATATAATAGACTGTAATTATAAAGTAATAACTACTAAAACATATTCTGTTGTGATATTTATGGATATATCATGGATAATAGTAATTGCATATTATTAAATAAAACTATTATATTTGTTTTTAAAATTATGTTTTCCCTAATTATAAATTAACAATTTGACGGTATTATATTTACTATCCTAGTTGCCTATTAATTTTCCAGGTTATCATCAACAAATATTGCTAATTAAATAATATATAAGATATTTTTTAATAATTGTTACTTAAATTTAAATATCTGTATAAAAATTATTTAAATATATTTGTGTTAATTGTTTAAAATTACAAAATTTATATTATAGAGTTTTTCCTCTATATAAAGGGGAAAAACCTTTTCCTTTACTTTAACATAATTTGAGTCCTATTTAATAATAAAGCATTAATAATAAACATATTGAATATTAAATAAATCAAACTTATATAAGTATAATATCATTTGAGTTAATTTTTATTTATTCACTTCACTAACATTTTTACTTAAACCAATTGTAAGGCATAACAATAAACGATTAATAAATCATATGAATTAATTGTCGCGTATTCTACAAACATATTGTACGTAAATGTAAGTAAGTTTTATTATCTAAGAGCTTACATGTGCAGGCTACATACAGAATTGAGATATAGCTACTTTATACTATGGGAGGGGCCAGAATAAAATGCCGATAATCACTAATAGTAATGATAATGAATTACAACTACAAAGTGTAAACTTTATTGTCGTAAACACATATACCGAGAAATAGAGATTACAATAGCATTGAACAAAGATATTGTAATTAAACCATAAGTTTAATGAAAACTAAAAATTTTACCTTCAATTCAAGTGTTGTGTTTTGAATTGTTTTGATAATCAAAATGTCAATCAACATAATGATTATTTGCAAATTATTAATCGTGGTCATAATATGTAAATACAGTGCTGGTTATGATCATAATCAGATATTCCAACAAGGTCAAGCGTTGCATTTTGGCCATCACCTAGCTCATCAATGTAGGGAGAAAATTCGCCATGATGTTGTCAGGTGTATGCGGGAGAGTGGCCAGCAGTACAACGAGGATAATCGGCGGGAAATGTGTTGTTACATATGGACAGCACAGGATTGCGCCAAACGGGAGGCAAAGGTAAGTGTAATCATAGCTAACATAATAGATATGTGTATTTCTATATGACCACACCCTTTTGTTGTTTTCTTTGTGCTAGTTTATTTTAATATGCATTTAAAGTATTATTATTGTAATTTTTAAATTATTTATTTTTACTTTTAATTGCATTTAATTTCAGGCAAAGTGTACGTCAGTAGAGAAAAGAGCTCTCGAGGAGAATGTATGGAAAAATGTTCATCAATACAATGAAAATGATTGCGAACAATACCACTATCACGCCATCACATGTTCCGGGGCCCAGTCATTATCATCATGGTCATTTTATTGTTTTGCCTTCATTGCGTTAGTTTTGTTAAAATTTTTAGCTTAAATAGCAGTGCACTCGATATCCTATACAATAGGCCATATTCTAAAGTTATTATATAAACTTTATGTTTTATTTAAAGTTACAGTTATAATAAAACAATTAAAAATAACAAATTTGTTTATAAGGTTAAACAGCCAATGTACTAATATTATACATTGACGTATAATGTGTGTTAAAAGTAATCTGGAGTTCATCTAGATCCCAACAATTTAACAATATTTTTAAATTCATTGATTTAATTTAAGGTTTTATTTATAGTTACAGTTTTAATAAACATTTGTTCAATAGTCGGTAAGTTTTGTTGAATTTCTTGGTTTATAGTCACAAATGCAAACTCCATGAAAGGTGGCAAAATAAAGTCCAGGATTATTATTACACTTTATTATAATAGCCAGATGATGGCCAAAAGTCAGAACCAAAATTTATTATCAATATCAGTTATCTCTGAATTTATAGTATTTATATATTTCATAATAGTCATAATTAAATTCACATTGATTCCGTTATTTCACATAAGATGGGAGAACTGAACTAATCTTAAATACTTAAATTGATAATTTGCAATTTAGCGCAAAATATAGATTCTATAAAATTTTTAAACATTATTAGATTTTTAAATATTATGAGGATATAGTTTATTAATTATTAATTAATATAATTTCATAAATAAAATTGCAAGTTTTAAAAGAGAACACCATTTTAATTAAAGCATTAAATTGCAGTTTTAATTTAAATTTCTAACTTATTTTATATACATTTGATATTTACGTAAGGGAATAAACAGTATAATTGATTTTCAAATTATAATATAAAAAGCTGTCAGAATTTATAATTCTATGATAACAATAATGTGCGAATTATAAAATAGATTTAACATGGAAAAAGGTAAGTTATTGTTATTATTTTTAAACTACTGGGAATTATTTAAAATATATTAAAATTTATTTTATTTAAATTATGTTTTATAACTTGATAGTTAACGTGATTCACTTTTTTCACCAAAAACAATAAACGTAAATAAATATCAATTGTTTCGATAAATGAGTTGTAAAATGTGAAATGATATTCTAATAAAATCAAACTGTAATTAAAATTATATTTATTAATTCAGTAATGTGAAACATTATATATTCTAATAATTAGTTGTACCCGTATTAATAAACGCTACTAAACAATAAACTAATTGGTAATGTTATTTTTTACTCTATTTAAATAGAAATTAAAACTATCAGTTATAGAATTTTATTTTTCAACATAAAGGATAAAGTTCAATGTTAATTGGTAAAAGGCCCAAAATTTTGTATTAATTTTTTTTGTTGTTTTTAATTTGCGAAATTAATTATCATTGTGAGCATAATTGAAATTGATATAAATGATGTACAGTAATTAAGTTAATCAATATAAATACCGTGCATAACTGTTACTAAATTTCTTAATTTTAATATAACTTTTACAGATTATGTCAAATTTGGGAAATTCTTTCAGATTTCGAATCCTCTCATCCATATCTTTCCATTAATATATAATATGATATACTTATTCATAAGATACAATATTTGGCATTAAAATTTTTCCCGATAAAAGTGGTCACTACGGCCAAACCCGAGGTCGTCTGGCCAAATAAAATATACCACAGTACTTCCTACAGTGTGTACTTTTGATTGATAACAATAATTCCCGGGTGCACTCTGGGCCTAATTTGAACATTGTCTTTTACAAAGATTTACATAAATTTTATTTTCAATATTTAAAAGTAAATACAGCGTCAATCTAGGCTCTGATCATGGTACTTCTTAGCTAGAACTCGAACCTATTATCACTCGTCATTCAATTAATCCGAGTTTTTTTGATTATATGTTATATCACATTATTGTTGGCCAACCTATTGTTTGCAACTATACGTAACATTGTTGTAATAGTTGGCGTTCTATTTCTACACTCAGAAAAACTAATGGTTCAGTTTTAGTGCAATGCTCCTAATGATGAAGTAATTATAAGATTAATTTTGGTAAAATGATTCATTGAAAACTAATATAAAGTAAGTTATAAAAATAATTGAAATTATAAAGTACGATGACGGCCCCCTAATGCTAAGCTGGCCCCGCTGGCCTGGTCTCCATTTAACATAATTGAATTATTTGCAATAAGAGGTTCTTAGATAGAACTAAAGACAAATAACTAAAGACACATCAACAAATAACGTTTATAGCATAAATAACGTACAAAAAATGTAATACATTTTTAATATTCCAAATAACTTTTTTGATATCTGAATTACGAAATTCCTTCAGAACCCTATTCCTCTCATCAAATCCTTTCCATTGATATATAATATGACACATATATCACTCAAATAAATTTTTAATTAGAGTAAATTTTCCCGATAAAAGTGGTCACTACCCCCCGAACCCAATATCTTAGGGACATGTGGACAACATTTTTAAAGACCCCTAACCATGGTCTATCGTTCCCATATTAAATGGTGACCAGGCCAGCGGAGCCAGCGTTAGCATTAGGGGGCGCCATCGTACTTATAATGTAATTAAAGGACAAAGATTAATGTTAATGGGTTCTGGGCAAAATATTTTATATTAAAAAATTTTATTTTTTTTAATTTGCGAAATTAATTATCATTGTAAGCATAATTAAAATTGATATAACTGATGTTCAGTAATTACGTTATTCACTATAAAAAACGTACATAACTGATACTAAATTTCTTTATTTTGATATAACTTTTATCTCTTATGTCAGATTTGAGAAATTCCTTCGGATTTCAATTCTACTCATTTATACCTTTCTATTGATATATAATATGACATGATTATTTATAAAATAAAAGATTTGATTTTCAAAATTTTACCGATAAAAGTGGTCACTACGGCCAGACCCGAGGGAATCTGGACATATAAAGTATATCACTCAACTATCTATTTAGTGTACTTTCATTTTATAACAATAATTCCAAAGTGCCCGCTATCCCACAAATGGGCATCATCTTTTTTATTATTTATATGAGTCTTACAACTAGCAGCCAATTTTTATGGTACTTTATTAATAAGTTAAATTAAAATGTTTCATTTAAATTTAATTACAGTTTAATTTACTAAAAGTTTACTCTATATGTATATATTATTACAATTTTTGGGTTTAATATACTGTACATTATTATAATAACAAACTTTTATAAAGCTATCTAATCACGTCAAAGAACACATTATTTTTAATATAATTAACGTTTATAAAACAATATATTAGATTAAATGATAAATAAGTAGAGTCACTATCACCTCGTGTAGATAGAATTATAAAATTGATCTTATTATTTAGGTTCACATTCTAAGGCAACAGAATCCGAGTTTCATCAAAATCAAATAATTATTTGTGACACAGGAATTATTTGAATGAGATAAGACATAATAATGTATTCCTCCGGCCCCCAGTCATTATCACCATGGTCATTTTATTGTTTTGCCTTCATTGCGTTAGTTACGTTAAAATTTTTAGCTTAAATATTCCGTTGGATTCAATTTTCCATAAAACAGGCAATATTTATAAAGTTATTATTTTAACTTAATGTTTTATTTAAAATTACAATTTTAATAAAACAAACAAACATAACTAATTTGTTTATAATGTATCAAGTAAAACAGGCAATGAACAAATGATATACATTAGTGTGTTAAAAGTAAACTAGAATGGGACCGCTAAGCATCGCCCAAACAATTTATCAATATTTTTAAATGCATTGATTTAAATTTAGGTTTTATTTATAATTACAGTTTTAATTAACATTTGTTTAATAATCCGTATGTTTTGTTAAATTTGTGATTTATTGTCCTAGATAAAAATGATCAAATAAATGTACATGATTATTAATAATAATAATTTGGCCAAGTGTCGCCACCAAAATTTATTATTATAATTAGTTATCTCTGAATTTATAGTATTTCTATTATATATCATAATATTCATGATTACATTTACAATAATTCTGAGGATATAGTTTTTTTACTATTAATTAATATAATTACATAAATAATATTGCAAACTTTGAGCCAAATAATAGTTAACCACAATTTTAACTCAAGCATTTATTTATAATTTATATACATTTAATAATTACTTGAGTAAACAAAAATTATACATGTCAAACAATTAATTTATCCAAGGTCCACTGTTAGTTTTTACGCAAAACAAGTTAAACTCATCGCCGATAAGTCTAACCAAAAACGTATTATTCGGGTCATTGTAGGGAATAGCAAGTGTGAAGTTGAATGCCTTGGTTTCACCCTTTCTGATGGGACAGCGAGTGTCATGACAACCATCTCTGTCAAAGTCTGGGATCAATGTAGACATGGGTAATTCAAACCCATTGACATAAGCCCGCAGATCCCATATTGCATTAACGCTATCCTGGTCTATTTGCGGATTAAAATAAAAATATAGTAAGATTCAAAATTTATAATAATCAATGTGCTAATACTAATGTCTATTTTAATTTTGCAATGTCCATGCTAGAATTTGTTTAAATATATAAATAAAATGTATGTTATTGTGGTACTAACTGGCTATGTATAGAACATCGAAAGTGGTCTCATTTCCATTGTGGTCAATCCCAATGCTTTTAACCTCACCTTTACCTATATGTTGGTGATATATTAAAAATCAGGTTTATTATAATAATATTTATTTTGATCTATAATGATAAATTTACCACAATCTTTGTAGCGAAGACGGGCTGATACAATGGCAATTACAATAAATAAAATTAAATATAAAAACGTCTTCATTTTTATTTAATTAATGTTAATTCAGTATTTTTAATTTTTAAAAAATATACAATATCTAACCATGTAATTTTAGTTTATATTGTTATTTTATGATAATCTCAAATAAACCCAAATTAATAATAATGATAATAACTAAGCAGCTTTTTAAAACACACGGATGGGAAGTAGTTCATTTTAAAACATATGTTTATTAACTAAAGATAATAATATTACTTATATGATTTTGATTATAATTACTATTATTAAAACTAAAATAATTATTATTCTTGTTAATAAATATTTAACTTTTGCATTTTAAATATAATAAATTAAGCATTTTAGTATGTTTTTAAAATATTTCTGCGCATTAATTTTAACTCTTAATTGTAAGTTTTAAAAATATGCATAACTAAATATCACTCTAAATTAAATAATATAAAGTATTGCTATGAATATAATTATTGTAATTTATATTTATTAATAGCTAAACTCATTAACGGTGAAGGAGTTTGCGGCGATGGTTGGGATCTATTTCATGACAATTACTACGATATATGTTATAAATATTTCACTGAAGGGTTGGCTGACTTTGAGACAGTGGTCACCGCCTGTCGGGGAGAACTCGACTCAACGCTACCCACTATTAATTCACAGGAAGAGCAGGATTTCATAAATAAGTTAATTGTCAAATACAAGATGGTTGAAAACTTGTATCTAGATGCCAGCATAAAAAACAAACATATTGTTTGGACGGACAGCAGTAGCGGGGAGTACGAAAACTGGCTGACTGGTCATCCTATTAACGAGAGCAATTGCGTCGAAATGATACCACAACAAGGTAATTTAGGCAAATGGCAAGATGTACCATGCACCAAAAAGAATGCCTACATATGCAAGCGTGTTGTGATGTGGTCGGGCCAGCGTACCGAACGTTTAATCAGGGACAATCGCCGACTATTGGATGAGGCAATGGCGGAAATTGCCAAGTTGAAACAAAGTCAGGTACCGATTGGTTTTATATACGTACAGTTGCCGGACCAGAGTGAGCCCAACACACTGTGGCCCGGCTACAAGTGGTCAGATGTGACCGCGTCCTATGCCGGCCAGTTTTTTCGGGCCGAAGGGGGCGGGAGTCTAGCGTTTGGAAAAGGGGCGCAGGCTGAAAACGCGCCCAGGTTAACAAAGATAAATTTTGTAGGTGGCACAACATTTCCGTGCCCATGGGACATTGACATAACCCCTGGCGAGTGGAGTAATTATATTGTGACGGGTGGTGGTGATGATGTGGGAGGCTGGGTTTCCACCAGATATTTGATGAGTGGTGGTGAAGTTCGGCCACAAAATCAGGCTGTACGCGTTTTTAAACGTACCATATAGTTTTATATTTAGAAAATAATTAAATGAATATGTATTGTTTAGATAATTAGTTCTATTAAATCATAATAAATTGCATGTCCTTATTTTGCAATAGTTTTATTTCACTCTACAATGTAGAGTAAAGGATGTAGTGTCTACATACATCTTATAAAGTAAAAACTAATCATACTGCATATTTATAAATTTTAACTGTCAATATAAAAATGTTTTATATTCACTGTATTATTTGTATTAAAACCTTTAAATTAAAAAAATTATCACATAGTTATCCATATCACGTATAATCCAAACAAAATTATATTAATTTTTTAGTTATTATTTTTTCATTATGTTTTATTTAAATTACAGTTTTAGTAAACATTAGTATAATATTTGACACGTTTTATTGAGTTCTTATTTTAGATTTTATTGTTAATTTTATTATCTAATTGTATGGTATGATTAAACATCAATATATTTATGTTCTATAATATATAATACAGTATACTAATCATGATAAATTGTAAAAAATTATTTGTTTTAAGACAGAATAAATTTTATGTAAATAATTGTTGTATGTTTAAAATAGGGAAAAATTTTATTTAAAAAGTTATCAATACAAGAAATTTATTCTTATTAAATAAAAACTATTTAATTGGTTATACTTTTTTAGCTTAGATATCCACAATGTAAAATGTTTTAGAATCAGAGTTTTATTTGAAATAAAATAGCGCTGGATGAATTGAACCATATAATCTAACATTGCTATTAATTTATTTTAAAAACTAATGTTAAAGTTAAAATTACAGTTTTAATAAACATTTGTTTAATAATCGGTTTTTTGTTGAATTCTTGATTTACAGTCACAGCCGAGAATAAGATTAACAAAAGCATTGCAATTAACAGTATTAGAGCGTATATTTGTTAGCACATTGACACAAATTAACCCTAATGAAAAGGGCCATAGTAAATGCTTAGGATTATTATTATTAAACGGTTTAATAGCTATATGTCTGCCAAATATTTGCATCCCAATTTATTACGATAGTCAGCTAGCTCATAAAATGACTATTTTCATAAAAAAAATTAATAACTATAATATCAGTAATTAGAGCATTAATTGCAAGAACTAAACTTTAATTAATATTATTGTTATTAAATTGCATTATCTTTTAATTTAATATAGAATGAAAATTAATTTGAATTTCAGTTATCAATTATTTGATTAGACATAATCAATATTATTATTATTGCCAACAATAATTTATTGGTATAAAATATTATGTTTTACGTATAAAATGTATAAGATTTTAATAAATTTTGTAATTATGTGTCTAATTTACTATTTTATAATTTACGTAAAATAACATAGTATTTTAACTTGTACTTTTAATTCTTAATATTATCTAATTAGATTTTTTTGGGTAAAAACAATAATATTATCTAACATTTAGAATGATGATTTTTAATATCCCACTCATAAAGTAATAAAAAAATTGTAATATAATTTAATAATTATAATATTTTGTGACAGTTATATAGAGATAGTTATCAAGTGTGATAATACATACATGTAATATATTAATTAAATTAGATTACAGTTTTAATATATAATATATAATTTAAATTTTTAATGTACCAAATTTGAAAATAATAAAATACAAAACTGTAATCTAATTTAATTAATATTAAAATTCACATTAATGAGTTTTGTTTAATATACAAATGGAGTCGCAAATGAATCCAAAACTGACAGATAATTATTTTTGAAACTATAGAAGTATTATGGTCAATTTATTTTTTAATATTTAAACTGCCCAAATTATTGATCAATTAAAAAATAATCAATTTACACAGGTATTAATATAGCAAAACATTTTATTAAAAAATAAATCAGTTTTTATAAAATACGGATAAAATCATAATATTATTTTTATCAAACATGGTAATTTATAATTTTACTTCTTGATCACTCCGTTAAATGTAACGCAAAACAGGTTCCCATTGTTGCCGACAAGTATGGGCTTAAAAACGGCGTCCATATCGGGCACAGACTCGGGAACCATAGACTTTTGGGTAAACTTTTTCACCTCTCCTTTTTTGATAGGACAGGGAGTGCTATGACAGCCATCTTTGTCAAAGTCAGGCAATAATGTAGACATGTCTACATCCCTACCCTCCACAATGGCGTGCAAATCCCATTTAGCCTTTGCGCTATCTTGGTCTATTTAATGTTTAATCATATTAAATTATTTGTTTGTTATAAAGTATTTATGTATTATTCATATGTTTCACAGTAAAAATACAAAAAAATATTATGTTAGAATTCTAGTTACTAAATAAATTATTTTTATAATAATTATTTGTAGTGCTGTAAATCTAGTTAATTAATTATAATAAAAGTCAATTAAAATTTATAATACTCACTGGCTTTGTAGGTAATGGTAATTGTGGCAGCATTTCCCTTATGAACAATACATGGGTTGTTTGGGCAGCCGCTCACTTCAACCTTGATTACCTCCTTGTTACCTACATTAAAATTACCATGGTTAACTATTATAAAATTGGTAAATGACTTTGTAATACACTAACCGCAGTCTTTGAAGTCAATGTCAGCCGAGACAGCAGTTATAATGAGTGCCAAACAGACTATTTTAAACATTATTTAATTTACTTTGATTAGGTTAAATTTTATATAACTATATTTTAATTAGATATTCATCTAGAAACAGTCTCAATATTTATACTACCAGGCAGATACTGTCAACAATTACTAGATCATTACTAGGAAGATAAATTTTGTTTTTGTAACACTTGAAGTAGGTTGAAATCATTTCTATTTTTGGCTAATCAATGAAATTTATTTCACAATTCTATTATTGTTAGATTACTTTGATCTTTCCAAGTATTCCTTATTTGCCTATCAATGCAATTATTGAATATTGTTTTGACATTTTTAAAGATGGTATTATCAAATAAAGATACTGTAAATTAGCACCAGTTAACCAACGTACATTAACATTAATTTCAATTGTGAACAAAGCAAAATATATACTGGAATATGTAAAAATATTTTAAATATGTAAGAGCATATTATGTTAACTATTATTATCATGCCATTAATATATTAGAAGAAAACTTTTTACAAACTGTCACACAATTTAAAAACTATTAAAATGTATGTCAATAAATTTTGTTTAATTTATAGATGGTTAAGACTAGGGCAACCGTTCGGATGGTTTTTGGATGCGTTTTTTATTATAGTTTTGAACACAATAATGACTATTACAACTATTTGTTTATTGAGTTAGCATGAGTTAAATACTATATGTTATGATTTTTTGACTAATTCATGGCTTTTATTTAGTCTGCATATTAAATGACTCATATTCTGGTTGCCCTAGTTAAGACAAAAGGCTACATATAGTTAGAGTTGGTTATTTTTAGATCAACATTTTAATAATCTGTTAACATTTATATTTAATGTTTATTCGTTATTTTGGGTAAATAAAAATTATTTTTAGTTTAAAAATTATTATTAAGCTCGTTTTTAATTATTTTAAATTGTGAATGATGGCACAGAACATGTTCCTCTTTTCACCGGTAAGAATGGCCTTAAAGTCAGAGTCAATGGATGGCACGCTATCGGGAAGTGTGACCCGGAATGTGAGTACTTTGGTCTCACCCTTCTTAATAGGACAGGGAGTCTCGTGACAGCCATTATTGTCAAACTTTGGTATCAGTGTAGCTAGGTCCAATTCCAGTCCACCCACAATGGCCAGCAAATCCCACGAGGTTTGAGTTGTATCCTGGTCTGTTTATGTGAAATATTTAATTTTGTATTATTGTAATGATTATAACAATAATATTTTTATAATTATTCTCACATGCATTTGAATTTTGTTAACATGTTAAAATTTGTTAATTATGAAATTGTATTAAATATGAAATATTTTTAATACTTACTCGCTTTGTAAGTAACTATAAATAAAGTCTCCTTTCCCTTGTGGACAATATCAACGTCGGTCACCTCTCCGTGTCCTAAATATAATCTCACCAGGTTAGTTTTTGTACTAAATAAATTGTTTAATAAAATACGCTAACCACAGTCTTTGAAGGTAATGTTTGCTGAAACAATAGCAATGAACAAGGTCAAACACACAAACTTCAACATAGCTGTTTTGCTTTAGAATTATTTCTAATTTTACTTAAAGAATAATTTTTGCTATTATTTTCAACAATTATTGTTTTGCTTATATTTATACTTTACAATATCGCCAAAGAAAATCTGCCAGATGTTAATATTTTAAGATTATCAACCATCTAGGATATTTATAATTATTATTATCCGTAAAGCCTTAGCAATTACTATGTATGCCCGTAATGTACGGTCATGATACATTTTGGTATACCGTGTACAATATCCGGTATGATGGTACTTTTATATACAGGATATGTTGTGAATTTTTAAAACTTTTTACAATTAGTCCTATGGAAATGGATAACGTAACATTATTTACATATGTTTTGTAAAACATATTATGATTTTACTGAATCTGCTTAAATTCAAAAGTAATTTCAAGAATTTAATTCATAATCTGTTTACAGACTTTATTATATAATTTTAAAAAAACTATATTGTTCATTTAATTTTAAAATATAATTTAAATATTTGTATGTATGATTATCGTAAATATATCCTAAATGATAGTAAACCTAACATTTCCATCCGGTTTATAAATACAAATACCCGGATCATTACAAAACTATTTTAAAATTGTTTAATATAAATAAGACTAAGATTGTTACAAATTATTAATTGCATTTATGAAATTCACTTATGATAAAACAAAACATGATAATTATTTTAAAACTAGAAAACTGATTAAATATATGTTTTGTCCTAAATCTGAAACCTTATGTTTTTAATTACAATTTATTTTTAATAATAATATAATTTTAATTAATTAATAATATTTATGTCGTGATTCTTGTATTTATTTGTTTTTATAAGATTCATAGGCTTTACATACTGGTAAAATATCAATACTATATTTTTATTGTAGTATCAATTTATTCCTTGCTTTATATGAATTTACATAATTATTTTCATTAATTTTCTTAAAATTCAAATATTAATTGGCAATACTTGGCGCCACACAAACACCTGACAAAATTTGTCATTTCATTTATATTCAAAATTTATAAATTTACTAAGTCATGTGTTATTTAAAATTATGTTACAATAATTTAAATTTAATTGTCCAAGGTAACTATATAAATTTCATTCATGTAATTTAACTTATAATTGTTATTACTATATTATTATTATTATTCAACATATCAATCATTTATAAAACACATTTACTATGATTAATTTTAACTAAATATGTTTTAAATTGTAACTTGTCACACAAATCAACTATATTTTTACAGGAAGTTTATTTTGCATAAATACCGCAATAATGTATTCTACTGCCACTCTAATTTTCAAAATTTTAAATTGAAATAATTATAAAATTTATTTCAATTGATATATTAGTTAAAATGTTGAAATTCTTGTATTTATATGTTGCCATAGGTTTCACAGTTTGTCACAAACAAGTGGTCAAAGCGGGCATTCAATACACTGATTGCGGTATTAATTAATTTATTATATTAATATTACTACATTTTAAAATATAATTATTATTATCTAGGTCATGGAGAGATAACCAGCCTCCAAATTAGTGGCTGTACTGCTAGTCCATGCCTATTTACTAGGGGTACCGATGTAACCATTAATATCGCTTATACAGCAAGTTAGTATTTAAATATATAAGTAAACATGTTGATAATTATAATGATTAATTAAATATGCGTTAAATAGATCAGAATTCAACTACGGCCATTTGGTACCTTCATGCCATAGTCGGTGTCCTAGACCTTGATCTGGCCGATTTAATACCAGGGTTTGATTCAAACGGTTGTCACGACACTCCCTGTCCCGTAACAATTGGACAAAACAAACAATTCACTTACAAACTGAACATACCATCTACTTTCCCAGCACCAGTATGATTTTTCAAGTTTAATTTAATATATATAACATATAGTAGTCCAAAAAATAATAATTTATGTTGGTTATTTTATAATAGTTGCAAGCTACACTCAAAGCACGACTTATTGGTGAGCATAGTGATCTATTTTGCGGTACTATACAAGGATCAATTAAGTAATAATGTTATAATTATTGATATTTAACTTCTTTTATAAATTATATTTATGGTAATTTTTGTAGTCCATATAAATATTGTTTAATTTTTATTTTTAAAGTACTTGGCAAATATTGTATTCAACTAGTTGTATTATCAGTTTTACTATTAAATGTCATTTTATTTACAAATTATTGAAATAATTCGATCATTTTATTTACAAAATTGTGTAGCATGTACACTGTAGCATGTTTTTAAAAATGTCATAGTAATAATAATGTCAACAAAATTTAAATAAGCACCCATTCATAATAATGACTCAACACTTTGTCTTCTATACCCGATTACTAATTAATTTAGTACAGTTTATAAAATAAATATTTTATCATATTTTTTCTTTAATTAATTTTATAATCTTAATTTAAATAATTATAATTTGCAATTAAATAATTGTATTATATTCTAAAGATAATTATATATAGTTTGTGGAAAATTATTTAATTACTTTTTATTAAGTGAAATAAGTTCATCAAATTATACAAGTAAAATAATTTTATTTACGCCAATGAATTAAAAATTATATTAAGTGATTAGTAAAATAAATAATTTAAAATTAATATCTCTTTATTGTTTAGCCAACTAATTGCACATCAAATGTGTGCTAATATCTTAATTAAAAATGTTTATTCAAAAATATTAATAGTGCAACAAAATATTATTGTGATAACATGAAATACCACTCTGCAAAATGTCCATGGATTGGGTCCATCAAATGTTTAAATAGATTTGTATTTTTTATACTTAACCAAAATTGCAAAGAAATTCATCGCAAGTGTTATAATCTGTAATTTCAATTAATTTATTCATTAATTGTATCATTAATTTGTTATTCTTTCATTATAATTTTATTAATCAATCAATACTTACATTAAGAATATTCTCAATATTAATAGCTTTCCCAAATATTTCTAAACCAATTGTTGATTTCAATACACGATTAAAATATAGTCTAATCTAAATTTAATAGATTTATATTATTTATATTTTATTTTATAATATTGTAATTATTAATTAAAACAAATTTTGATAAATACCATGAATTTTGTTCGTTTATTGGGAGATCTAAAGACAAATCCGTGAACAAAATGCAAACCAAGTTTAGCTTTGATGTCAATCATTGCAATAATTATAGCTAGAAAAATTAATAACACTGTAAATAGTAGACTCGCATAACATCCGATATTTGCCACTGTTATTATTAGACCATCACCAATTGTGTATAATAGTATGTACAATGAATAACATCCCACTGGGGCGAATATTAACAACAATATCCCAAAATGCCATTTTAAGTAACGGTTTGCAATTTGCAGGGAATCGCAAATTTTGTGATGCCTTATAAGCAGTGAATTAAGCGATTGTTTGCCACTTGTGTTCATACTATCATTCAAATTGTGAAACATTAACCAATATTTGTACGAAATAAACATCTGAGTAAATATGTTTCGGAAAACTAACGGCAAGGATATAAATAATAAATAATAGATATCAAAATAACTAAACCAAAAACCAAAATGATTGACCATGTTAATTTTCAAAATAAACCAATTAATTCCGGACGTAATATAGGCTACAATTATCATACTATATGTCGCAATCTTCATAATTGTTGACAACTTAGCCGACATTCTGCCCAAAGAATTGTGAATTTTATTATTACTGATCTCAATGTAGATATCATTTACACTACGAATCCATTGATTATCATTTAAATGATAGTCGATTACAATCCAGAGTGTGATCGAGTGAAACGAAATGACCATTAAGTCAAGCATGAACCTGGTGCTTGAATTTCCAATATGGTACCCAATTGAGCCCAACATTGTAAGTTGGTTAATATCGGTATCCGAAATGAATACAAATTGAATGGTCATATAAAACGTGGTAACTATTGATAACATCAATAGAAAGTAATTAAATTTTGTGTACTTTTGTTGCCATTTATTAGATATGTTGAATAAACGAGTGATTGAATCAAATGGTGATAATATATTCAGTAAATACATATCAGTTGTCTCTGCAACAAACTCCATATTAAGCATTAAATTTTCTAAATTCATATATATTTAAAAATTGTTAAAAACTTGTTTAGTCTTTTATAGCAACGAATTTTTACAATTTATTTTTATACTAATAATCAAGGTTAAGTTAACAAAATAAATAAAATTACACTTAATGGCTATTTATTAATATGGAATAAATATTGTATATTTTATTTGAATATTTTATTCTAATGTTGATTACTATATAATTTTATGGCTTAAGTTATATTATTAATATGGAAACCAGTCATGTTTTTCATATATATTGCAGTATGAGTCAATTGTGTATTTTCATCACAAATACAACACTCATAAGCAAATAGACATATAATTAAACATCCTATTACACTATAATATATATAAAATTGCTGGAAAGTTGCTGGAACGCGGTTTGCCTAATTATTAAATACATTATTTATTTGTATATTTAAATTACGATCAAAAATCTACTACAATAAATATGCATACTTACTTGATGCATGATGTATACTTTTACAGTATATGTAATATCAATATTGTAATCTATTATGTTTATTATATAAGTTGGATAGTTATATTAGTTGGTAATGTTATGTCAATAAAATTAAATTGCAAAAAAATATTAATTTTGTTATTCAATATATTTTTTAAAATTTATAAATAACATAATTTCAATTATGATTGAGAATCAACTACAATAAACATACATACTCAATTGATGCATAATGTATACTTTAGCCGATCAGTAATGTAAGTTAATAGTAATAATTTAACATATTATTTTTATTATATTATCTAGATTATTATATTAGATAGTTGGTAATGTAATGTCAGTAAAAATGAATTACAAAAAATTAATATTTATTTTGTTATACAATATAATTCCTATTATTTTATATTATATAATAATCATTATTTTCAGAGTTAGTGTAGTTTAGAAATAAATTTAAGAAATATTAACTATTAAATTAAAATTTCTAAATATCTATCAATTAACTAAATAGCTACATAAATTGTTTCTATGCAATATATTTAACAATGCAATTGCATAATTTAACATAACTGGATTTAGTTGAAATGACCATTTTTTGATCGTATGGGGCATATGAATGATATATGGCACTTTATTTAGGCTGATACCCACTTTTATGAGGTGTAAAATGGATTAGATTATTATATCAGGATTTATTTGTTGAAATGTCGTTTAAAGGTAACGTTGTTTGTGAGAGGGATTATACCTTGTTTATAATCGATTGTTGTGCTCATTATTAGCCAAAAACATTCATTAATTGTTAGATTTAATATATTTGTGTCCAAATCTCATATTAATGTCTGTCCAACCGATGTCTGGCCACCCGTACGGCAACACATATTAGACATTGTTTTATACAAATTTATAATGATCTTATATGATGCGATTGCTCACCCGTAAAATTAAACACACTTATAATGTAAATTGTATGAATGTACATGAATGACCACTATAGCTAAAAATGTGCCGCGCCCATGATTGTAGCCGTGGTGGTCACCCGATGTTTGGTCACTTATCGGTAGTGTTGAAACTGGTTCGGGACTTCGATGCCTAACATATTGGCTGACGATATGTTCATAGGGTAGGGATGCAGGGAATAGACTATTGAAGATCACTTAGACATGTTTAGGAACAGCTAGCGATTAAATTAACGGTGTTTTTACATTATTTCAATGCTAAAAAATTCCCGAAAAAAGTAATTTTGAAAATAAAAATGCAATTAAAGTTTAATAACAAGTGGTATAAAATCTATACCCACACTGCTTTTAACCCTCATATATCCCTTACTGATTACCACAGATACCAATCATTTCTAATGTCTGTGAGAGAAATGATGTTAAAAATGGCAGATGTCATCAAATCGGGGGTGTTTACAGAGTTTGGACTTAAAATCAAGTTTAATCTTCAATTAGGAAATTGAAAAATTTGTGACACAATAAGGGATAATAGATGATTATTGTAGCGAATAGATCGCTGATCAAAGTTCATTATCTTAAGAATGAAAAATAACTGAATTTTATTACTTCCAAACGACGCTTGAAGTAATAATTCCTGATATACAACACATAACATTTGCAAATAAACTTAATGCTTTATGTGTGCACAATGTAAACGCTGATTATAATATAAAATTAACAATAAAACCTAAAATAATAATTCAATAAAACGTGTCAACAATTATTAAAATGTTTACTAAAACTGTAACTTAAATAAAACATAATGAAAAATAATAACTAAAAAAATAATTTAAATTGTTTGGCTTGTGTTCAAAAACATTTTTTAATTTAGAAGTTTTAATACAAGTAATAATATTTTGTATATTTAATATCTTAGACAAATCTGTGAACAAAATGCAAACCAATTTTAACCTCGATATCAATCATTGCAATAATTATGGCCAGAAATATCAGTAACAATGTAAATAATATTACAATAACCATGTAATAACTACTGTATGTAAATAATAATAATAACAATATTTATTGAATTTAAGTACATTACAAATACATTTGATCGCCGTTAAGTATGGCCTTAAATTCAGTGTCAATGGTGGCACTAATATTTTAAATAATATTTTTAAATATATTTTATTTTATTGTTATAATCTTTATTTTAATAATCATGTATTGTTTGTTTGTTTATTAATGCTATAATTTAAGATTAAATTAAATATGTAAATAGGATAATTTATATTAGCTCCACTTAAATAAAAATAAATTTACGTTTATACTTATATTAAATTAGGAGCAAAACAAAAAATAGATAATTTAAAAGTAATATATTTGCATATTATCGACAACTCATATAATATTTAGTGCTTTCCTTTATGTCACAAATTATACGATAATTAATATTTTAAACAATAGTTTATAAACAGATAATTATAATTGAATAATTAATTATTAATGTATGCAATAACTAATAATTAATAGTACACAAATATTCATCAAGTGTCGGACAATATTTAACCAATTGTTGTTTAAATTTATAACACTTTTTATTTGTATTATTTGTGTGAATAATTACTTTTGTCAAATATTGTAATTTTGATAAATAATTGATTGCAATTTTTTTCAATTTCACTTTATAAATGAAAATATCTTCCAGTTTTGGTAAATGTTTATCGATATCAATGAAAAAGTCGGTACCAATTAAGTGGTCATTAATTAAATCAATAGATAAATGTGTTATACGTTTGCATTCCTTCAATAAATTACTCGTTAAGTGAATGTCTTGTGAGATATACGACAATAGATATAAACGTTGTATTTGTCGGAAGTATTTGTTGATAATATCAGACATACTATACGACGGATTGCATAGCATTTCGAGTCTTAATTCCCGGAGTTTACGACAATTGATACCAATTTGTTTCATTAAATTCAAAATAGACTTTACTTTCGTTTCGTTT